CGATGATGATGATGTTCTGTGGTCGTACAGGGTGTATTATCATTATTGCTCCTTTATTTGTCTATTGGTGGTGACTCGATCGTGTCCAGGTAGGCATCTTGACTTAAGAAAAAGGTTCCGTCTTGAAGTCCATGGCACTCAATGCCGAGATGTGTGAAGGGCATGATTTTCCTTGTGATGTTCCAAACTTTTCGTCCATTAACGCATGTGCCCAGTCCAACCATGTCTGCCTGCCTGTTGGGAAGAGATCATCCACATGTACTGTCGTGGCCAGTGTGAGCTTCTCCGTCTCGCCGTCGTGCCACGCGAAACAGTTCTCGTCGAGCAGCGCTCGCTTGCCCGCCATGTTGTCCTTGATGTGTAGTGTCAACGCCGCTTGCCATAATAAAGGTGCGTCAATGAGTCCAGGAACTGGTTTGATACATTCAAGGACATAGAGACGTAGCTGATCACCTGGAATCTTGGCGAACAATTCAGATAACTGCTTGAGGCGGCGCCAAACATGTGCAGGAGGGCGATGTAGATCCCGCGCTTCTCGCGCGCATCCAGTCCAAGCTCGCGAGATTGTTCGGACAGTTGGGTGAACTTCGGACCCTGCATGAAGGCCGACGATATATCCCGGCTTTCTGTCACGAAGCCTGGCTCGCACTGACTAGTGGATACCATGATTCGTTGTGATACTCTTGCTGCCGTGGAGGACTGTCTGTCCACTGCCCATTTCTGATTATCCAAGAAGCCTCGTCCGCAAAGTCGGCAACGCACGACCCACTTCTCTTTCCACATCCAGCGTCTGACCCAAGTAGCGTCTACGAAGTTGGCGTTGTTGCATTCCGTCTTCAGCTTGGGCCTGAAACAGTCGTGCTTGACATAGTTATGGATCTCTTTGTGATCGGCTTCTTCGATCTGTGGCCAAAGACTCTCGAACTCAGATTCTGAATCAATTGCTCGGCCTGGGGCGCGTAGGTCTCCACCATTTCGTGCTCCATCAGGTCCAGGTAGAAACGTCGCGATGGTCCATGACTGTCCAAGCCCTTGAAGATGCAGCAGGGATCTGTCGTAGTCCATGGTGTTGCGGTAGCGTGGTGATGCGTGGTGTTGTCCGGGGAGCTTGAATAGAGCTTGTCAGGAAAGTGCTTGATATCATAGAGCTTTATCAAGTCCTCTGTCGGCGTGATGACTGATCTGTCTGCCGAATGGCCCGCACACCACGTGTATAGTGCATCTGCATCTTGAAGAGGTAGTAGAGACTCGTCCTCAGGATCCTCCATCATCTCACCCAGCGCCTCAGTGAGGTCATGAGTGTCATTCGCACCTATGGGGTCCTCCGCAACAAGATCACCTATGAGACTGGAAACTGCTGGTTCATCTGGAACAGGTGGAGGTGCTTGTTCATGGAGAGACATGTCTCTCTGCGAAGATGACTGTGATTCTGCTGTCGAACCATCTTGAATAGGTAGTTGGACCTGCTCAGGCTGTGGATTGACTTCGGTTAGCGGTCGATATGGTTCTACAGTAGGGCGTGCTTGCTTTCGTTGATGTCTGAGGTCAATGATGCTGTCGTCTAAGTCGGTCTCCTTTCGCGTTCTTGGTTCTTGACGTGTCCGTGTAGTGATGTTATCTGGCTCAGCTGCGGGGTCGATCTGCATTGAAGTTGATGCTGCCCCTGGTCCGATCCGTCGAGGTGAGTGTGATCGTGATCGGCTTCCTTGTGGAATGAAGCTTGATGGTACTTGTGCTGGTTGATGTGCCTGACGTATGGGTCCACGTGCCACGCTGCGCTCCAGGGCTTCAACTTCAACATCCATCTCCATTAACTTGCTCAGTTCTTTCTCGAAGTTCACGTCGTCCATCACCTCACTAAGATCGTGTTCCGGTCCATCGTCAGATTGTTGCTGAGCTGGTTGTCCTTGGAACGTCAAAGGTTGTGTAGGTTCCTTTTCTGCTTCATGATATTGCATCGTCTTTGCTCGAGTCGCTGATGATGTAGTGTTAGCCTTCTGCTTTACGATTGTCTGAATCACGCCGCGTAGCTTCTTCAGAGTAGGTGATACTGCCTGCAGAGATGTTGCATTCTCCATGGAAGATGGCGTCAGATCCATTGAACCTCTTGCGGGATATATTGCCTGATCTTCCCGTGGAGACATCGGAACCTCGGTGTGATCTTCCATCTCGATCGGCGTAGCTGGTGGCAACCAGCTCGGTGGAGAATAGGGATCATCGTCGAGGAATGGGATGTCGCTGAGGTCTGGATCGACGCAGGTGCCTGGGCTGTCGTCAGCATAACGATGCTTATATACCAATAATACGAAATGGTACTTGCCCCAGTCGGCGCATACGAACTTCACCATGTTGATCGGCTGGGTCGGATCGATCTAACTGCTGTAGTAGTCTTCTCGGTGTCGATCGCGCCAGGCCACGAGCGCTCCACGGGTGAATTCTCCAAGACCTTTGAACTGCCGATGTCCTTGCTCATAGATGATGCCATCAACACTAGTCATCCGGAAGATGGTCATGCCAACACTCTGTGCCAACTGCCATGTCGGCGGTGGTTCCTGCAGTAGTTCAGGTGGCGTCGGTTGCTCGTTGAAGATGCCCATGCGGCACACGATGCCCGGAGGAGTTCCTTCTATGATTTCAAACAACTGCGCGAGCTTCATCGCGCTGCCGCTGCCGAGGTACAGCTGATATTTGTCCCAGGAGGTGCCTAAGACATAAAAACTCATTCGTCGTGCTCGCATGTGCCTCGTCGGTATCTTGTACGGCTGAGTCTGGTGAATCACTATGTTCGCCGCCTTGTTCTTATCTAGGCTCATGAACTCTGCTGGACCTCGCCGACCATCTTGATCTTTCCGAGCTGGTGTTCGCCATGTGTCAACTTGATCATGTGGTTTGAGTGTCTCGATCCATTTGGAGTCCTGAGATTGCTGTCGTGTATTGTTGGCATTGGCAATCCTCTCTTCAATGATGGCCTGCAGTATATTGGATTTTGCAAGGGGCCTCAATCGTTGACGTTGCTCGGTCGGGTCTGGCGTGAGATACGCTGCGCTTTGAGTTGCCGTCAATGTTTCAGCCTCGGGATCGCGCGCGTCCTTTCGCATGTAGCCGAGCAGACCCTGAGCCGGTACCGAGCAGCCGTAGTTCATTAAAGATTCGCCGCCATAGCTGATTCCCCCACAATATCTTCATCACTGATGTCGGTCAGACCTTGCTTGATCACGTCGCGCTTCGTCTTGAGGGCCGTGAGCTTGAGCGTCTGAATAGCTCTCTCTGCCAGGCCTGTCGTGGCATGTCCGTCTGCTCCACCAAACACTAGTTTGAGATTGTATCTGTCTGCCACCAGCGCCGCATTATCGGTCGTCATACCGCCTTCCTGATCCATCACTTGGTTGTCCATCGGCCCGAGTTACCGAATCCAGTGACTGAGCATCGCTCGTGGAATATCTTTGCCTTGCTTAATTGCCGCCAAGCATGCGATGCGGTACCTGATGCATTCATCAATCATGATGAGCCATGTCTTTTGGAACACAAAAAAACAGATCTGCCTGGACTCGTTCGTTGAAACGAACTGCGATGGTCATCATGATACTCGGTTCATTCATCGCTCTTTGCCGCTGAAGGCAGGTCTCGCAGTGCTCGGCCAGACCTTTACATAACTCTCGAATGGGTGCTGGTAGTCCAAGTGCTCGAATCATCCGTTCGATCTCAAAGTCAAGTGGATGGAAGAACTTGTAGTGGAGGCCCACGAGCAACTTCAGGCGTTCCTCGTCAGAGGAGGCCTGCGTCAACCTTTGTGCCAACTTGCCCAGGTCATACGATGGCTTGATGATCTTGACGTTTCCTGCCGACGCTGATGATCGTGAGGCAACCGGTTCAGGAGGTGGTGGCACTGGTTATGCTGCTGGTGGAGCTGGCCCTGGAGGTACTGCAACTTCTGGTGCTGCGGCGTCTGCTGGTGCTGCTAGGAGGTTTGGGTGCTGCTGGAGGTTCCGGTGCTGCTGGAGGTACTGGTGCTGCTTGAGGTACTGGTGCTGCTTGACCATCTGGTCCTGCTGCGGCTGCTGCTGCTGCTGATGGTGGAACGGGTTTGAATATGCAACCATCTTGCCGCGCGCGTGGAACCTGATCCAGCACCGTGTTGGCAGCGCTTGCATGTCCAGTAGGCCTGCGATCTGCAAGTGTGCATGTACTTGACCATGTCCTTGACCAGTGAGCGACGCAGTCCCACGAGATATACCGCTGCCAGGGCTGTCCGCTTCCTTCCTTGATCGCCAGTGCCCTGCAGCTCTGCATGCTTTGTCATACACTTGCACGCTCGCGATGTGGATCTCAAGCGGATGGCGCTCCGGAAAAACGTCCTCTTGCGGATTGGTAACTTCAGGTCCTCACTCCATGCTCCATGTGCACACTGGTCGGTAACGTTGTCGTGCATCTCGCGCATCAGGATGTCTGGAGTCAACTTCAGATCAGTCTGCTTCCAGATGGCTGATCGCGAGGGGTTCTCCATAATGATCTGACTGCCGTGACGTATCAATGCTGGCGCATAGGTCTGTGCAGTCCATGTCAATACCGGGCGTTCGTAGTCTCGCCTGTGCTCCAGTTCAACAGGCTCCGCATTGTTGTTCGACTGAGACCACGGTCGACAGTAGAACTCCATCAATGAGAACAATGGTCCAAATGCCTCATGTAGCTCCAGTAGCAGTTGTTGATGATCAGGTCGATGTAGATCCCAACCATAGCGATAGTCAATGGGTGGCAGTGCAATTAGATGACCACGATAAACTGCACATGAGACTCCAGAGGTACCAGAGAAGACTTGCACCATGAGAACCGTCTTGTGCGCTACTGGGCGCATATGCTGAATGAAGGCTCGCGCGTGTTCGGGTCCAATCACTGGTAGTCGAGATGCGCTGTAGAACTTCTCGTCCATGAACTCATATTCCCGAGCCATCCGATGACATTCAGCATGCTCGAAGTTGTTTGGCCATTCGTCCTGTGAGTATCTACTGCTGCTGAACTGTCTGCATGCACCATAGAACTTCGTGGCGTCCGTGTTCTGATGCGATCCGCATGTCTGTCTCGATGGTGTCGATGCTGCCGTTGCCAGTCTGCTGCTTCTTATCTCACTCTGATTCTGCGCTTTAGGGCCTTGAGCGTGACTGGCTGAATGTAGTTGAATTGTAGGTTTCCGGCGATGATTGAAAGCCATGAGGAACTTGTTGATGTGGTCCTCGATCAGGTTGATCATTTCGTCGGCTACCTGCTCAGATTGAATGTTGAAAACATCTGTGGGCAGCAAGTAATGTCCTGAATATGTGAGTAGTACTCGCGCCATCGTGGATACCCTGTCGTCTGGAACAAACGCCAGGATGCCGTCTCCGTTATGATGCATGTTCTCGAACAGGATGCATTTCTGCTTCATCATCGTACTGCTGGGCAGAAGGCCCGGACACCGTGCTCCAGAGCCGCCAATGAGGTCCGCCTGGTAGGTGGCGCCGCTCTGCATGCCTTCAACCCAGACTGGCCCTCGAAACTCACCGAATGAGGGGTCTGCCTGTCCGTTGATACCCGTGAAGGTTGCCTGTGAGGCTCGGAGATCATATGGAATGCCTTCAGTTTGATATAGGTCCAAATTCCATTCCAGCAACGTCTCCGTACCGAGTAGGCCTTCAGCGGCTCCTGGGTCGACGATCAGTCCATGTCGAGGTTTGCCTTTCACTGTGTGCAATATCTCATAAGGATCGTTTCGGCCGCTCTTATCTTCCAGGAATGAGATGTGTGTTTGATCATCTGCTGTCGCCAATTGCTGATAACCAAGGAGTTGGAGTGACTTGATTCTCTCAGTAGGCATGGTCTGTTGCCCAGATGATGGAGCTGATTCGTCATTCAAGTCATCCTCCTCTGCATTGTTCAACTGGTTCTTCATGACTACTAGTGCATACTGCTTTGACAACTTCTGAGCCAGTGTCATTGGAGCTGGTGTACTTGATGGTGATGTCGTTGAGCTCCTCAGGACTGACCTTAGCGGTGTGCGATTCACTCGATCATCGGGAAAAAGGTGATGCTGAGCCCAGAATGGGTGGTCGCACTGGTCGATCCTGTGTACTCGGACTGGCGTCGTTGTCATCAGGTCGGGTGTGCCAGCCATTGGCGTCTCCGTGCCCTTCGGCATTTAGCTCAGACGCGTCGCCTTCAGGCACTGGGTCCCGAGCAACAGTAGGCAATCCATCATGATCTGGGAGGTAATATCGCTCGACAGGAATCGTGCTGGTCGTTGAGCTGACTGGCGTCTGCACCGTGATCCAGGAACCTGGTGCTGGAGTCAACATTTGCGGTGCTGTCGAGCCTGATCCTGCGGACGATGCTGTTGCTGACGGATCCGCTGTGGAGAGACCGACGACGTTTGCGTAGTGCCTGCTGCGTGCACCTTTGCCTTTGCCCTTTCACGGTGTTGAGGTCGGTTGTCGATGTGGTTGTGCTTGGTGCTGTCGATCATTTGCCGGGAAATGTGTCCGATCGTGCCATTTACTTCCACAGATATCGCATCCATCGCGTCGTTGCCCAGTGTTGCCCATGCGATCGTTGTTGCTGCCATAATTGCCTTTTCCTTTTCCACGTCCTTTACCTTTGGAAGAAATCGTCGTCGAAAGCCCCCTCGTCCGTGTCCTTTACCTTTGCTTCTACCACGCTTTCCTTTGCTGCGACCCTTGCCGCCGAAGTAGGTGTCGTGGTCATCCTGATCTGTCTCGTAGTATTCTATCATGTCGCCGTTCTCATCGTACTTAGCCCAGATGTCGTCGTACTCCTGGAAATACCATTCTCCATCCTGGGTAGCTGTCCATCCATAGTCCTGGTCGTAGCCCCACTCGTACTGCTCATCGTTGTAGGCCTCGTACCAACATTCGTCCATTCCTTCGTGGTCGGCGCCGTCTCCTGATTCGCCGTACCAGGCCCAGTCGGTATGCTGTCCGATCTGGTCCTGCTTGCCCAGCCGCATCGTGAGACCCTGCAATACTCGATACTGTGATAAATCTCCTGCCACGTGCAACTTCAAGTCGTCCAGCCTTTTGTCCGATACCCCACTGTTCTTCAACAAGAAGTGACTGCGGCCAGTGTCGTTCATGACTAGGCCGTCTTCCTCGTATGCGCCCTCGAACGCCAGTTCAAATGATGAAATCCATGTTGGCAGATCTTGATGATGTCCACGTCTGCACTCAAAGAATGAATCCATACTATGCCAACTCTATCTTGATCATGTAGTTCATAGATGGCCTTCTGCTGATTGAGGAAGTGTTTGATGCCGGGCACATCTTCTTGCTGGTCCGGTGGATTGGCTGCCTGTGCTGGAAGTGCTATTGCTTCATCTCCTCGATACTGTACGCCGTCTCTGACGTGTGTGAACGACATCGCTGCAGTGAAGGGAGCTCCTTGAATTCGAGAAACTATGAGCGGTCCAATTCTTGCATATTGATGCTCCTCAGTGATTCTCCACCACAGCTTCAGCTTCTGCATGTATCCCCGAAGCGTGTAACCTTTGATGTGAAGGCGCCACCCTGGTGGCACGAACTTTGTGAACTCCTCTAGCTGCAATGTGCCCTGAGGTCGTTCTCCGCCTTGCTGCTGATGCGCCATGCTGGAGTTAAAACAGAGAAAGAAGTAGATGACAGTGCCGTGAATCAGGCGCGGTCGCCTGCTGAGAGTGCTTGTCCTAGCATTCGTGGTACTTCGTGAAGTTCGACGGGACACCGTCGATGCCGTGAACGATGTCGTAGTTCTCGCTGCTGCCTGCGGAGGCGCGGGCATGCGCGGCGCTGGCCGCGCGGTGGGCCGGCCGACCGAAAGAGGTTGGCCCGCGGAGCTTCTGCTCCGCTATCAAAGCGGGCATTTTACTCGCCCTGAGCCACAATAGTATTACGATATGTGGCTCCAAAAACAATAGCCAGGGCATTCAGCCCTATCCGGCGGTGACGACGGAGGGTGCCTCTGAAACACTTCTGAAATACGCATAGATCGCCCTTCTTATCAGAGGCCTCACTACTGATATTATCACTCCGCCCCCTCCTCCTCCTCCTCCTCCTCCTCCTCCTCCTCCTCCTCTTCCTCCTCCTCCTCCTCCTCCTCCTCCTCCTCCTCCTCCTCCTCCTCCTCCTCCTCCTCTTCCTCCTCCCCCTCCTCCTCCTCCTCCTCCTGCTGCTCCTCCTCCTCCTCCTCCTCTTCTTTCTATTTCGGTGCCTCGCTCGTCGAGAAGCAAAAGGGAGGGAGGAGCAAGGAGGAACGGGAAGGAAGGCCGTAATGAGGAGGGAGGGAGCGGGAAGGAAGGCCCGAATGAGGATGGCGGGGGGGGGGGGAAAGAGAGAGGAGGAGGGAGGAGGAAGGAGGAGGAGGAGGAGGAGGAGGAGGAGGGCGGGGGCGGGGGGGGAGGGAGGAGGAGGGAGGAGCGGGAAGGAAGGCCCGAATGAGGAGGGCGGGGGGGGGGGAAGGAGGGAGGAGCGACAGCAGCGGGCCCTCCGCGGCGGCGGCCCGCGGCGCAAGCGCCGGCGGGCCCCGGCCAGTGGACGGGACAGGGGCGGCCCTGGCCCCGAGGCCTGCGGGCGCCGCCGCGCGCGGCCCCCCCCCCGCCTCAGACCACGGCCCGGACGCCGTCCTGCCGCCGGTGGCTGGGGGGGGAAGCTCCGCCGCAGGGGGGGTGGGGGGGGCGAGCGGCAGCAGCAGCAGCAGCAGCAGCAGCAGCAGCAGCAGCAGCAGCAGCAGCAGGAGTCTGGGCTGCGCGCTCGAGGAGGCGCAGGCAAACGGGCGGGGAGAAGGGCACAGAAAGAGGTGGATGGCGCGCGACAGGCTCATGGGGGGGGGCGTCTCACTTCCCGCGGCGGTGTCGCCGCGCCTGGGCCGACGGTCTCGCGGGGGTGGGGGGGGGGGGCAGCGGCGGACGACGGCGGCCGCAGGGAGGCGGCGGTGAGCCCCGCGTGACCGATCCCTCCATCCCCAGCGCCGCGGCCTTGGCCCCAGTGGCCGACTTGCCCACCTGGGTGAGGATACGTGCTTGTTCCTTCGGAGCCTCGCGGGGCCTGTCCCCACCTGGGATGGTGGGCTGGCGGGGCCGAGGTAACATGGCCCAGGGGGGCTCGGGAGAAGGTAGAAGATGCTCAGGCGGGAACCGGGACGGGGGTCGGGCAGGGAGGCTGCAAGGGGGGTCTCCTGACCGCCATCCTCTTCACCCTTTTCCGCCTGGTGGGTAATCCTCAAATTCCCCCTCCCCTTTCTGGGGCTCACTGTTCTCAGAGACTGGGGCCTCTGTTGCAAGCTCGCTGCGGGGATAGTGGAAAAGGCTCCAAAGGACGCTCTCCACAATATCCTCGCGGGGAAACGCCCGAATAATAGGAAATTCTTTATTTTTTGCTCCTCGACCCTGTTCCCCAGGAGCGCCCGTGAACGATTCTTGCGGAGGTCTCTGCACCGGCCATTCGCTGCTTCGCCTAGTAGCAGCACCCAAAATGGAACCGCTGGTCCAGCGGCCTCTCGAACGCACCTGGTGACGGTCGCCACGGGGAGGCTCAGCGGGCCCGCGACCAGGGGCAAAAGCAAAATCCAGCACTGCCACAAGCGGAGGAGGAGGGGAGGAGGAAAAACCCTGCTGCGTGTTGGCGCCAGGCACAAGCTAGAAATTTGTGCCTCCGCGAGGTGGCACGGAGGCCACAAGCGAAACAAAAACATCAACACAAACGGAAGACAAAGCATGCGACGACATGGGCGATGGTGAAAGCAACAGGAGGGGGAGGAACCACGGAGAACCCTCAGGAAACCACGACGACGGAAAAACAAATGACCGAACCAGTGCTTGAACAGCGAAGCAAGACGAGTAGTGCTCAACAGAGTCAAGATCTGCCTCCCCGCCGCCTGGACATCCCATTACACAACCTGCAAAACGGGCCTCAAATATCCTGGACGCGCAGAAACGTCCTCGGCATAAGAAGCGCTGGGTGCCCACAAGAAGATGTGGTTGTGTTTTCGTGAATCAAACATACTCGGTCAATATATTTTTGTGTCACACATGGTAGCCATGCAGCAATCCAACGGAAGAGAATCTGGCGAGGCTCCGACTGTGCGCAAGCACCCACTCATACAGACGAGCCTGCAGCTTGTCCGTATCGGCGCTAAGCGAAGCAAGGATACGTTGGGAAAAAAACAAAGAGCGCATATAATACAGAAAGCTCGTCCTCCACCACCCACATCGCACACGGCACACGACGCGATCATCATCCTGCTCAGGTTCCCGAAGATGCTCAAACACCGCCCACCAACGCAGCATTCTGAATCATGTATCTTAGACAAGTCGCACGAGAGAGGCGCGCCAGAACTTGAAACTCTATAAGGAGGCGAAGCTGTCAAAATTGGGTGCAGAGGGCATAACTGAATTCATTGCGCGGCTCAGCTTAGGGGAACATCACAGGTTCGCGACAGCAATTCAACAACGTTTTTTGACACCAGGTGCAACTGAAGAATGAAACTGGGGATCGATACGCACGTCGCACGAAACGCCATTACCGACCTCGCAAGCCCAAGCCCCAAGGACGAGTAACACCCGCACGAGCACGAAGCTTCGGGGGCGCCACATGCAAACCGACAAGCAAGCGGGCCGATAAAGATGCCAAAACACTTCGCACTCTCGAGAAACCTGGAGATGCTTGAAGTCGCCCTTGAGGGCGGCAACGGAGGCGCGAACATGGTCGAAGTCGATCTCTCTGGCGAGAAGAACCTGGCATTACCTGTAGTTCAGACTGGGGCCAGCAATTTTCTCCAACAAACACAAGCTGTGCAAAATGGGGCCCGCGGGCGAGAAACTATTCAACATGCCAAAACAAAAGTCGTCCACGCCAGACGCCCGGGCCCGCCGCAGAGGCGGGTCGGCGGCAATAACGAATGACAGCATGCTGATCGGGCAGCCCAGCTTGACCCCGCACAGAACAATCTTGGCAGATTGTCCCTGGCGCCATAAAACGAAACAGAGTGGCGCAGAGCAACCCCCCATCGCACGCAAGGGGCGCAGCTGCCATGGGATCTCCAGAGAGGGGGTGGGATTGAAATCTGCAGGCAGCAAACATGCGCCCCCATTCGCGCGGACGTGTTGTTCAAGAGTTCACGCTTCTGCATCCGCAGTTCTGGCAAGCATGTCACGACGCCGCGAACTCTTGCGAGCGGTGGCGACGGCGCGCGCAGAGTCAGCAGCAAGCGGAATCGTCATCGCGCCCGCAAGGGTTATTCATGTCCGCGTCGCCCGTGCTCAACGGGCGAATGCATTCCGGGCCGCGAATGACCGAAGACCCGCGATCCTGAGAGTCTGACCCTCTGGGCGGGGCGCGCGGGGGGGGGGGGCGCGCGTCAGGCTGTGACGCGTCGACGGAGGCAAGCTCGGAACGGTGTCATTACAGAAACAACGGTAAACGTCGCATAGTGCCCGCGCAGCGGCAGGCGCTCTCCACGCGCCGCAAGGAATGCCGCCAAGCCCAGGTCTGCAATGGCAGCGAGCGCATACATGCGCGTGAAACTGAGGATATGCTACGTGCCATTCCATCGGGAGGACCTCGGGGAGCTCCTGGACATGGTTGGACACCTCAGGCCACGAGTTGCAATCGAATTCCATAGGAGCAAAAACACGGGACCAGTGGGCCTCCAAAGCCTCAGCGGAACGCTCGAGAGACTCATAGGGGGGCGCCGTCTCATCGCAGGTACAATTAGTATAGGTGCGGGCCCGAAAACACATCCGCAGTGCTCAGCAACGCTGGGCGCGGGCATACATGTGATTCCCAGTGGGCCCGAGGGCGTCCGAACGCTAAATCTCCGCCGCTTCCAGCTCGGGAGAATTCATCTGGGCCGAACGAAACGTCGAACAGAGGCCGCTCCGATTCGCGCACACATACGAAGAGTCATAAGCATGAACACGAAGCGCAGGATACGACTGAAGAGCAGCAACGACCATCCACGCCTGCCTCGTCCTCGCGCCCCGAAGAGCATGAACCGCCGACTGGTGCTTAAGCTCAAGCGCACCGGCTGGAAGTAGCTGCAGAGCCGAGCGAGCGTGCTGGGCAGACGCAAACATAAGCGCCGTGACCGCCCCCAGTCGGCCCCACTCGGAAACGCTCGGCGCGCTGGCATCCAACTCGGCCAAGAAATCCGAGGTGGGGGGCTAACGCAGGATGACAAGCAACATCTTTGGGGGTCGCAAGGTGCTCGATGGGGGGGGGGGGAATCGGCGACGGTGGGCGCAGGGGGCAGCGGCAGGTGAGGGCGCAAGCAGGCGTCAACACCGCTTGCATGACTGCGCGCAGGCAGCAGGGCAAGGCAAACCTCGCTGGCAGTGGAGACGAGCGCTATGTGGATATAGGTGCCATGCCAAAGTCGGGACCGCACTGGGCAGCTGATCTGCGCGAAAATCATAAGCAACAGTTGCTATGTTTCACGACTTTTGCGCTGATATTTTGTTTCGCCAGTTTCTTCGGTCGAGACTTAAAAGAAATCTGCAAAACACTTTGGTCGGAAACAATTTCCGGGAAAACATGCGAATGGAAGCGTTGTGCTGCGCTGTTTCCTGCGCGATTCACCTTGAGAGGCCTGATCTGTTCAGGCGTGACTTCCCGCTAGCAGGCCATCGCAACGTTGCCGCGTACTGAAGCACTGTCCTATAGCATTCGGAATGTGTTTATTGCGTTTAGATCATACGCATCGCATGCACCTGTATTGATGCGATTGATGCACGGAGACAGCATGCGACGAATCCCATTTGCACACGCGCGCAACACGCATGCTCGTAGTGCACCGCTCGCAACGCGCGCGCAGCGTGCATGGGCGGCGGCGTCGGCAGCGGCGGATGGGCGACATGCGTCGCATTAGAGCGCGCGCGCAGATCACGCGCACAAGTGCCTCCCCAAATATGTATCCGGAACACTAGCAGTCGGCGAGCCGCCCAACCGACGGGCAGGGCGCGCTGGCGCTGCTCCAGAAGTACCCCGGTCAACCTTTTTCTTCTAGTTCGCTGAGCCAGGCATGTATTGCAATACTAATGCAGTTCTGATGATATGTCATGATGGGCCATCTGATTCTTGCAGCTCCTAGAATATCCGCGGCTTTCGCTGACTTTTCCCGAGCGGCCGCGTGCCCAGAGAACGAAATCGGCGCGCGCATTCCGTTTGACGCAAAAACGCCATCGAATCATCTTCTGCCCTCCTGCACAGAAGGGCGCCCGAGGAGGAAGCTGCGCGAAGCAGAGGATAAGGGGGGGGAGAAGAAGGATCACTATTCACATCCTGCCAGTGTTTTCCCATTCGATCGCAGCACTCGACGACGCGAAACGCCGCGGCCATCCATCCGGCACATTTGCTGCCTTTTCGGCTCCAGCACTTCAGTTGTCTAGCTTTTCCTGATCGATTGCCCTCTGCGCTGATTTTGCGAGCAGCGATGCATTCGCGCGCGCGCCGCGCTGCTTGCCAGCGGCTGTCATGGGCGTCGCCAAGGCCGTTTGCGACCCTAAGAAGAAGGCGAAGGCCCAACCCGAGCGCGCCACACTCGACCACGGGGAGCTGAATCGGGCGCCCACTTCCTTGCGGAACCAGAGCAGCAGCAAATGTAGCGACGATGGCAAAAAGAAAGCCGCCGAGGAATGCCGGGCGCAATGGAAGACGCGCGTGAACCAAGGGGGCGAGAAACGCCCATTGTAATGGCGGGAGGCAAACGGACGATGTATGGTTGCAGATAATGCGAAGTTCGCCGCGCACTTCAGAGCCCTGTGACCGCGTTCAAGAGGATGAATTTTCGAGCGAGGACAGGTGCCTGATCCCAGAGCAGACTCAAGCTGAAGTGCCGTGCAATCTCTGATTTCGACGTGCGCATGGAAGCGATCAAAGTCGCTGTCGACTTGCACGAAGAGAACGCGAAAGAGTGCGACGCCGAGAAGGCGCATCCACCCGCAACTCACGACGCGAATGAGGGGTTGACCAGGCATTTCTTCGTCGAGGGTGAAGGGCGCAAAAATCTACCTGGACGCAGCAGCAACTCAAGGAGATCTCTGGCGGCGCCGATGCGAAGAGCGGCTCGCGCCTCGCGAGCGCGCGCGACGCAGCGGGCGCGCCATCCGGACTGCCGGCCTCGTCGTCCGCGCCGGAAGTGGAGATTGAGCACGACGTCCCCGAGGTTGAGGGGCCGGCAAAGAATCCCCGGACCGAAGGGGGGGAAGACCGTCGCCCCCGCCCCCCCGTTCCGCCGCCCCCTGGGCCAGACGTGGCGGCAGGGGGCGGCGGGGTGGGGGGGTAGGAGGAGGAGAGGGAGGAAGAGGAGGAGGAGGGGGAGGAAGAGAAGGAGGTGGGAGTGGAGGAGGAGGAGGAGGAGGAGGAGGAGGAGGAGGAGAAGAAGAAGAAGGACAAGGAGGATGACGGGCGCCAGGTGTACGCGGCACCTAAAAACTCTCGCAGTACCCATCCTTTGTTCCCGAATTCATCATGCTGCTCCCCCTCCTTCTCATTAAGTGCCTCGCTGCGGATTTTCCCATGCTTCGGTACCGTCGGGGAGGAGACGGAGGTTGACGATCGATGTCGGACTTCGTCATACGGCTGAAGCTGTGTCGGGGGAGGATGCCTGGAAACCCAGCGTGGCTGCGGGGGAGGAGGGACTTCGCGGGAGCTTGCTGAAAACCGAGAGGATCTGAGAAGAAGGAAGGAGGATGATCCTCCTCCCTCTTCACGGAGGGTGCAGGTGTTCTCCCACCCCGCTGAGTGTTCAAGAGAAGCGGCTGATGGAAAAGGGATTTATCAAGTTCCGTTTCGGGTCCAACAACCAAAGGCCCACCAATAAATGCCAATGACAACGCACGTGCGCACACGCGCGTTTCAGTCCGTTGGGAAAAGGAGGGGTGGATTCCTGCAAAACACTGTCTCTGGCACCTGCAGACCTACGGCTGAGTCCTGCCGTGACGACGTGGACGTTGGTTGATGGCACCGCGTCGATGGCTCAATATTGAATCATCTCCGCTATCCGACAACGGATGCCGTTCCTTGTTGGCCGGATTGAAGCCGCCCGATGCCTTCGACCTTGAGCGCCCTCCCTGGTGGAAAGAAATTCCAAATCGAAGAGCCAGGAAACAACTGAAAAGAAACGCTTTGCTATTCGGTGGTCAACAAGTCACCACGGTAGCCGGAGGAGGGGAGCGACAAGGAGAAGGAGCATTTATGGACAGAGGCTGCCCAAAACACCAAGCACTGGCAAAAATCACACCATTCGGATAGTTACCCTTCTACGGAGGGAGGGCGGGAGACACGAAGCTGGCCCTCCCATCTCCAACTCGAGGAGAAAGACGTGGTCCTCCCCTCCTCCACCTCGTCCTCCTACACTTCCTCCCCCTCCCTCCCCGCCTCGTCCTCCTGTGCTCCTCCTGCTGGTTCCTGCTCCTACTTCCGCTCCTGCTCCTACTCCTACTCCTCCTGCTCCTGTTTCTCCCCCTTTTTGGGGGAATCGAAAGGTATTGCTACCTACCGCTAATTACTCCCTGGACCTCCCCTGGGGTTTCGAGGCGAATTCAGCGGTGGCGAAGAGGGCCTCTCAGGAGGCCCAAAAAAGCGAAAATGCGGGAAGGGTAGCGGTACAGTCGGGCCCAGCCGCTGAAATAAGGAAGGAAGCTCCTTTTTTAACCCCCAGAGAACCAGCGTGCACGAGAGGGGCTAGAGGAACCACACAATGACCCAAGAAACACGAGCCCCATGCGTGCACAAACTGTTCCTTTTCAGCGCCTTTGACTGCATGGGTAATTACCTGTTCATCCTCTGACTTCTATCCCTGCCATCTCTGGCTCCACCCGCGACCCCCCCTCCGGTCCAGTTGCGAGAAGCAGCTGTTCGGGCGTGTGGTAATGGGGGGTGACCTAAATTTAGGTCGGGCATGTCCTACAGACAGATTTTTGACGAAAGAGGAAAAATAACAAATTGTCAGAGAGGGCCCCTCAAGGGCCCTTTGGGCCCCTCCCATTTGGTCGGAGAGACGTAAGACTCGGGTTCGGGGGACTCGGGCTGGCCTGACGGGGCCATCATGAAAATGACGAGACCCTATCTGAAATTTGACGCGACCTCCCGCGGCAAACGTGCCACGACAATGGGACCGTCAAAACCAAGGACGCGCTCGTCAAAAAGCATCGGCAAACCCGAATTCCAGTGTACTCGAGTCTTACGCTTCCCCTAAGATCCGACGTAGCGCAAAAATTGCAACCTCGTAAAAAGTCACGCCCAGAGCCCTGGTCTCCATCTTTCTGCGTCATTTTACGGGCCGGATCGATCTGTGAGGGTCCCAGGGCCCGAAAAAAGGCAAACAGGCTCAGCTCAAAAAAAATGAGACGCCAGGACCTCAGGGTCCGTTCAGACCTCTCCAAGGGTGCGTTCTGACCAAGATTTCGAAGCGAATCCAGCGGTGGCGATGAGGGCCTCCTAGGAGGCCCAACAAGAGGAAAACGGGGGAAGGGTAGAGGTACAGTCCACACGTATCAGAAGGATGCGCGATAAGAATGCAAGGGCCTTGGAGGCTCACGCGAACGTTTTTCGAACGAGGCTGACGGGCGAATTTCTCCTTGCCGCTTCGGCCCATCCTTAACCACTTTCGGAAAATCGCCAAGGATGGGCCGAAGCGGCAAGGATGCAAGGATACCCATGGGAAGGCTGCCCATCCTTCGTATGCGGGTTAGAAGGTATGGGCAGGAGAGCCCAGAATCGAATCCACAAGTCGAATCGGGGATCGAAATGAATCGGATCGATAGAAATCGGCAGCCACGTCGGGAGAAGTCGAATCGGCAGAAATCGGACGGCTAGTAGGCCTTCATTGAAAAATCTACCTAAATCGTAATTCGAAACCGAGTCGAATCGGAATCGGAAGCCATCGAAGTCGAATCGCATCGAATCGGAGGAATCGAAATGGGCCTGGTATGGCCTCCTCTGAGATTTACGTCACCCCCCGTTGCCGCCCGCCCGAGCTGTGCAGCGCGCAGTAGTCGTCCGGCGTGGGGCACCTCGCGGAGACCCGCACGGTCTGCCACTTGCTCCTGCCACAATGGGCCGGGGGCGCTCGGGGGCGGCGCAGGGCAGACCAACGGGCTCCTCCTCCTCCCTCCTCCTCCTCCTCCTCCTCCTCTTCCTCCTCCTCCTCCTCCTCCTCCTTCTCCCCGCCTCCTCCTCCCTCCTCCTGCTCCTCCTCCTCCCCCTCCTCCTCCACCTTCTCCTCCTCCTCCTCCTCCTCCTCCTCCTCCTCCTCCTGTTCCTCCTCCTCCTACTCCTCCTCCTCCTCCACCTTCTCCTCCTCCTCCTCCTGTTCCTCCTCCTCCTACTCCTCCTCCCTCATCCCATCTCCTCCTCCTCCTCCTCCGCCTCCTCCTCCTCCTCCTCCTCTTCTTCCTCCTCCTCCTCCTCCTCCTCTTCACCAGACGAGCGCGTTCCACTGATCGCGAAGTGACTGCTCGCATCTGGCCTGGATCCGCCGCGGGGGATCTACGATCTATTACGTCGAGGCGAACATGCGCGCTTCGCATGTGCGCTTCGGGTGTTTGCGGGCAGGCGATGTGCGACTAGTGGAGCGCGCTCGGTGACTCCTTCGGAGGAGGACACAAAGGCCTCTCCGAGGGCCACATTGCCATAGGAATGCAGGAGGCATGGGTCGCGAGGCACAGGACAACAGGGTACCCTTGATTTGGCAGGGTCGACCTACTGATCAGGGCCGACTGTACTCTCCGCCGCGGCAACGACGGCGCAATCGACCGCGGCGCCAACGGCTGCGCCGCCCGCCGCGGCCTCGACGGCCGCACCGCCCGCCGAGGCGCCCGCGAGCTCCGCGGCGTCGGAAGCGCGCGCCGCGGACACCACCGAGGCACCCACACCGCTACCACTCCCACTTGCTCGCCTCTTTGGGCCTCCTACGCGGACCTCGTCGCCACCGCTGGACTCGCCTCGAGACCTCGGGGGAGGTCCTGGGGAGTAGCGACAGGCAGCAGCACCGTCCGTCTCCCCCAAGAAGGGGGAGAACCAGGAACAGGGGGAGCAGGCGCATAGGGAGGAGCAGGAAGCAGCAGGAGGACCACAGGAGGATGAGGCAGGGAAGGAGGGGGAAGAGGGGGAGGAGGAGGAAGAGGAGGAGGAGGAGGAGGAGGAGGAGGGGGAAGAGGAGGAGGAGCAGGAGCAGGAGCAAGAGGAGGAGGAGGAGGAGGAGGAGGAGGAGGAGGAGGAGGAGGAGGAGGAGGAGGAGGAGGAGGAGGAGGAGGACCACGTCCTTCTCCTCGAGGATCCCCGTCAGAAAGCGACCCGAGAAAGATGTCTGTGGAGCAGCTGTATCGGTACCTCTGGGTATCCCCACGCGTTCTCCTCACCCCTTTCGCTCAAAGGACGGGGGGGACGGGGGGAGTGATGAAACGCCTGACGAGGAGGAGGAGGAGTCGGAGGAGCGTCAGGAGAGGAGGTGGACAGAGATGAGGGGGATGGGGGGAGAAGCGAAGGTTAGAGGCCTCCCTGATGGGGCTGGATGGTCTGAGGATCGCGCCGCATCGCCGATACATCGACGATGCATCAGCGATGCATCGGCGGGACACTGGCGATGTATCGGCGACGTCGGAGATACATCGGCGACGTCGACGTGAGGCAAATCGGGCTCCACATCGAGCCGCATCGGCGACGCATCGGCGATGCGGCGCGATCCTCCGACCCCATCTACTCCGACCCCATCTGGGAGGCCTAGAGACGGTGGTGGGACGGTGGCATGCGCGCGGACGCTATGCTCTGATCTGGTAGCACCCTCGAGCGAGGGCGGGAGGAAGGAGGGCGGAATACATGTCCCCATCATGTGTATCCCTCCGTCTCTTCCACCGCGTTCCATGATTTTCCTTCCTGCTCATCCCCGCTGCTTTCCCGCGTCCCTCTCCTCTCTCCTCCTCCTCCTTCCCGCTCTGTCATTCCGAATGCCCTCCTCCGCCTCCATCCCCATTTCTCCCCCACCTCCTCCTGCATCCACCTCGCAATCTTACGCATGCCCCTCGTTGTTGTCATGGTCCTGCGCCCGATCCTCGTCCTTCGGCCTCTCCGCTTCCTCCGTTTCCATCCTCTTCACTTTCTCCCTGATACCTGCCAGACCATCCCAACCCAAACCGAAAACCCGAATTTCGGGTTTGGGGGGTACGTGGTTTACGCGTTGTTTTTCCATGTTCCCCGACCCCCCGAGGGCGTTCGGGTTGGGTTGGGGCGGTCTGGTGGGCGGTGGCTCTCAGCGCCGCGCGGTGTTCCCTGGACACCGCGCGCGCTCGCTGGCGAACCCAGGGCGGGGGGGCCCGCGTGCGCGGCAGCGGAGCGCGCCCACGCCGAGGAATGCGTCGCTCCCGCGCCTCGAAGAAGAACGGGGGGGGAGAGGGGGCCCCGGCCCATCCCGCAACTCCGAGACCCAGAAGTACGAGGGCGAATTGTTAGAGGCCTCCTAATTGGGGTCGGACTAGATGGCGTCGGTAGACCGCGCCGCATCGCCGATATATCGGCGATGTATCGGCAACGCACCGGCGATGCATCGCCGATGTCGGCGATGAATCGGTCACGTCGACGCGATGCCCTTCGAGCTCCACATCGAGCCGCATCGGCGACGCATCGGCGATGCGGCGCGATCCTCCGACCCCATCCTCCGACACCATTTGGGGGGCCTAGAACTGTACGCTGCGCGCATCGACTATGCGACAATTCCGCTTCTAGACTGCGCCGTGCGTCGCGAGCGTGTCCCGTTGCATTCCCGCTGTAACTGGGACCATCGAAATCGATGGTGACTACTTATGTGGGCGGTAGGGTCGGCGATGGATGACGGCGATGATAGCGCGGCGGAGGCCGATCCACAAGAAACCTTCCAGAAGACACCCAATCCTGAGACCCCAAGACGTCCATTGGATTTTGGCGTGGGAACGTCGCGCTTTTCGTCGCAAAAGCATCGACGCCCATGGAACCCAGGGCGCCCTGGAGGCAGGCATAATGTTTCTTGGCATGGGTATCCACTGTATCTCTATACGGCATGCCCCAAGAAACGTTGGCATCGGCCCGCGCATGCCGCATTCCCTGGCTGGGTCCGTTCTCCCACGGTCCCATTAAAAAAACTCGTTGAATCTGCCCTCGCCCTCCCGGGTCGGCGTTCTCGTTGCAAGCCCATGCGACGGCGCCAGAGAGTCCGCGACATATGAGTTCGCATGCTAAAATGCGCCCATCTCGCGGGCTGCAGTCGTAGTCTGTGTAGTTTGTTTACGGCCTCGCGGCTTGCATCCGCCACGCGCGCCGGCGCACCGTCGGCAACCCCTTTGGGTGTGTGGGGCGCCTTTCACAACGGAAATGTTCATGAGTTCGATGTCTGCATATGATTGTCTAGATTTTCGTGCGGCGCCGTCGGGTTAAGGGTTGAATCTGTCGTTGATGGTCAGGTAGCACACGCATACTGTCGAGCCGCGGCTGGGCGCATGGCGGCGCGTGGCCTGGAGGCAGCACCGCCCCCCGCGCGCCCTTGTAAATGCGACTTGGGAGATCGCGTAACTTCCTTTGAAAATGCGACTTGGGAGATCGCGTAACTTTCGGGGGGCGGGGGGGGGGGCGCGGCGCCGAACGGAAATTGCCCCCCGCCGCGTCGCACACGGGCGCAGCAGCGCGACCTCCGCCCCCACCCCCTCGCGGATGCAACAGCGGTGGTTTTCCACTTGGTCGGGCGCGGTCACTGCCCATGGTAAGCGGGCGCGCGGGGGGGGCTTCCTGCGGCTGGGGTTGTCAAACACGCACTGATCGAAACTGAACGCGCGTTCCTGAGCGGGGCTGTCGTCTCGGATTGATTTCACAGGTCGACGCCCCCGCGGCCCCCCGATCCAGCGCAGGCGGGCGTTCCAACGCGGCTGGCACGCTGAGGGGCACTGCTTCGCTAAAGACCCTCAACGGCGAGACTTCGGGAACACTTGCCCCTTCGCATCTGCGCCCGCCCCCTGCCGCTTAGCCTCGCACTGCTGGCGTGCTCGCATCGTATTTGGCCGCTGGCATCTCGGCCATAGCCTCGCAGTTGCATCTTCGGCGCAGCGCGGCGCCTTGCTCTCGCCCCCGTTGGTCGCAGACTTGCGCGTTATTCGCGGCGCAACATCCGGATCGCGCAGTCCCAAAGATGCGCGCGGCCGCCCCCCGCGTGCCAGGCGCGCGAAAGAGCCCGAGTCTCGCGCGGGAGTTCAAGCCGCGCGCTCTGAACAAGCCATCGCGAAAGTAAGCGCTGAGGCGGCGGGGCTACGGGTGGCGCTCGGACGCGGGCGCAGCCCGTGCACCAATCGGGGCAAACGTCTGCGGGCATGGCTCTAAGTTCCGCAGCCCGCGCCTTGCAACTCATTCGCGCACTTGCAGCCGCGGAAACAAACAGATCCGAGACGCAAGGTGCATTAGTTCATCAGTGGATGCGAAAATTTGGAAGGAGACATCAGCCTCCTGGACCGCAGGACGTCCGCTAGGTTGCACCTGTTGACCTTGTTCCACACGCAGTCGTCATCGATGGCCCCGCCCTGCTGCCCGCGATAGGAAACGCACAAAGCAACCGGGCAGAGCTCGATTCGCGCGGCGCGGGCAGCGGCGCGATCCATGAGCGCGGGTGTCGGCCAGATTCCTGCGTCGCGCGCGCGTCTGGACAGGGCCGGGGCGCCCGCCGCCTGCGCCCGGTCCTTCGGCTCGATGCCCCCCCTGAGTAGACGCACCTCGGCAAAGAGTTGCCGCCGCGTGCGACGCCTAGAATTGACGGCGTCGCATTTCGGGGCCCAGGCTGTCGACCGCGCCCAGGGCGCCTCAAAGGTGCTTTTCCTTAGTCGCAACGTCAATCGTGAGGTCAAGATCTTTGGGGGCGAATCTGCCATTGCATGTGTTGATAGATTACTACTTGGCTGCCCTGGCACTCAGAAGCTGCGCGCGCACCATGACCTGTGATTTGCATGGGTCGCAGCTGGCCGATAATGCGTGCTCACGTTAACCGACGTGTATCGCCTTGACCTGCATGACAGCCCTGATCTCGATCATGGGGTCG